GGCTGAAACAAAGAAGAAAAAAGAGTTAAAGCCTTCATCACCATATTTAAGGCGAATAATACACCTTTACAATTCTCTACTATATTCCTAACTGATCTTGATCATCTGCAGGACACGAGAAATAAATATCTTTTTATAATACTTGTGGCAGCTGCCAAAAAAGCAGTTACGAGATGCTGGCTCCTTCCCGCGCCCCCCACTGCAGGGACAGTGTGAATGAGATTTATGTAATAGAATCAATCACATTCTCAATACGTCTTAAGAAGAATGTTTTTGCCGAGCTATGGTGCGAGTGGGTCAATGTTATGAAGCCTCTTCAACCAGACTTTGTTGAAATTTCATCTGTTTAGAGACTTGAGTGCTGTGTTTTATTTCCTGTTGAGTTCTACCGATGACATCGTTGCCTTCTCTCCTCATGTGCTTTTTGTCTGTTTGCTTGGGGCATATCTGGATGTTTTGTTTTTGATGTACTATGTGTTATACTCCACTTCTTTTTTTGAAAATAAAAAAATAAAATAATGTATAGGAGCAGCTAAATCAACTGTCTTGCCTGTTTTTGCAAAGAAAGCTCAATAACACAGAAAAGGCCTGAGACAGCCGACAACAACTTAAAGTGAGCGAAGTGATTCCAAAATGTATTTCAGGTTAAGACAAATGGCTGTAATTCATAATGTAATAATTTTGTTAAACCTCTTGAATTAAAGCATAAAGTTTTCACTTTAATCACATGTTGATTGTTTGATGAGTAAAAAAATGTAATTGAATTCTCACCAATATGATCACGAGTAAAAGGTTTATCTCTGAAATAATCCAGACCTGAGATATTACAGGTGTGCAGCTAACATCAGGTTCAAATATGGGTATAATTAGAATATTTATCAGAATCGTTTTTCCTGATATGATTCCATAGTAAGATGATGTGTGTTAAAGACGTGCCTTAAACCCACGCTGTTGTTTGTCTCTGTCTTTGCAGCTTGTCTTTTTCGCCTCAACATCCTGTCATTGGTTTACTTCTTGTACCTGCTGCTTTTACCATGGTTCCTGTGTCCCAACAAACACACCATCAAAGGTAAGACCATCTGTGTTTACAGGTCCGACCTTTTATGCATTTGACACCTGCTTTTCTTTAAGCCGTCCATCCATCCAGGCCGCGGGGGCAGGAGGCTTCTTTCTAGCTTATCCAAGGGAACGCCAGGGTGTTCCCAGGATAGCCGAGAGGTGTAATCGCTCCACTGTATTAGGGCTGCCACAAACGATTACTTTGATAGTCGACTAGTCACCGATTATTTTTGCGATTAGTCGACTAATCAGATCATCATCCATTGGACGTAAAACGTACAGCTTA